GTGAAGTGCTTCCTTGAAAACTATTTCTTTCACAAGGTTTAATGTGATTAAGGGTAATACTCCACCTGTTACTATATAGAAGACTAAAAAAAAAAAAAAAAATCACTGCAATAGTTCCTTGCTACAATTTTAAGAAATTTTAAATGATATTTTACTATCAGTAAACAGAGCTTTTTTGGGTATTTGTTTAAACTAAGGTATTGATTGAAATCTTTCAAATTAGTAATATTAAGTCTTTCAAATTTGAAGTCTTTCATAATAAAGTCCCAGTTTACCTTTGCTCTTGTAATCACAAGCATTAAGATTAATATGACCATCTTCAGATTAATCATCAGGACAAAACATCACTTTGCTTGGCCTAATGATTTACTCACCCATCAATGAGTGACATAGCCTGGATTTTCAAACTGAAAAGGACCTAGGGGTTATAGTGGATGCCAGGCTGAGCAAGAGCCAAGTGTCCACTCACTGTAAAGTAGCAAACCACATACTGGAGCTACAGTGGGAAAGTAGCCAGCTTATTATGGAAATCATCTCCCTCCTACTTACTCATCCCCTTTTATCCAAACTTGCTATTTTACACAGAGATTTTCCACTGGAGAATCTGACCACCACTGTCATGCCTGCTACTGCATACAGCCACTGATGTACTGACATGATCTTTAGGGAAAAGTTTGTATTTGAATGTTGGTGGGAGCCCTTCACAGTTAGCACACTGTGCCTCCTGCAAATACACAGATGGAATAAATCGGAGTCAATATGAAGCCCACTATGACCTGGGCTCTCAGATGGAGAAGACCAATCTTCATCACATCCTTGTTACTCAGTGATGACTAACTCCACTAATGTGAGAAGACCATTAATCTGATCAAAGGAACTACAGAAGTTCCTCCTAACCAAATCAGAAATAACAGATTGAGTTCTCGTGCTCAGAGTGCTCCTTCAGTCTATGCATGACCAAGACAACACAACAGAAAGTACATCCACACTTCCTACGATTTACCTGAAAGTTAGTTTTGGGGTGTGCACAGACTGACTCTTTTCGAAAGCACTTTGCTAAAATGTAACAACACAAATTTCTATATTTTGAAAGATTAGTGAAAGGTAAAAACCAAATGTTTAGTGGCAGTCTTAAAACCACATAAAAATCAGATTCAACTCACAATTAGAAAATTTTAAGAACAGTTTTAAAAGCACTGGCTTTTCTCTCTGGCCTTATCAGAGAATGAGCACGAGAATTTAATTAGCAAGAAAAGATAGCATAAAACCAACAAGTAACTCAACAAAACAATTGAAAGCTTTTATTGTGATACCTCAAGTAGATACAATATAGTGAAACAACAAATGATGTACAGTATTGCTAGGACAAAACAGCAACACAGCCATGTCACCTGTAAAAGAAAGCATTGTAAAGAGTTTAAGAAACAATGAGGCACAACTCAACTGCCATTTACGACTCATGCTTTAGGCCTTAAACCATTTGTAACAGTCCTTTTAAAAGAAGCCTCTGAAGTGTCTGTTCCTTTTGCAGTAAGTGTTTATACTGCTGGTTGGCTTAACATGAATCTCAGTGAAGTACAATAAAGTGTCCAAAAAGTTTAACAATAATTTGACAGCTTCTTCCACTCATCGCCATTATCAAAGAATGAAGATGTTCAAAATTTGGTCTGTGAGACTGTAGGTCACACTACTGTTGCAATCTGACTGCTGAGATGAGCATGCAGAAAAAGCTCTACGAGCATTACCCAGAGGGAAGCGTAAGTCCACCAAAAACGGCACACAGCATTCATGAACTCTTGCACTCGCCTGAGACACCAATGAGAAATACAGATGATCGTTTGGTGATGGACACAGTGGTGACTATTTGTCAGAACATCGGAGGCCAGATTTTAATTCGTAGAAATTTCATAAACTGTCTTCCCCTCCTCTGCCATGGACTGTGAGACTGCACGTGTGCAAGGCACGCCACTCAGACTGGCTGTTATACTAGGCCTCACTAGTAGGAAATTAAGATGGAATTATAACAAACTTCATTAATACAGTTTGACATTGTAGAGATTACAATGAATGAGGGAAATTCATATTCCGGCCCTTTTTACTGGCAGATAAAATTGAGGTTACTAGACTGCTAAAAGCATACAGCAAGAGTGGCTAGGTTGATGTGTCAGCAATCCCTCACCAAATTCTGCAGCTTATTCCACAGCAAGTTTGCAACTTAACAGAATTTTTATAGATGACAGCATTGCCTTTTATTAATCAAAAAGGTACCTAGAATGACCAGCCAAAGAATAACTCTAGTGTTTGGAGGCAGACTCAGTCCTGATCACCATTGTTACAGCCATTATTTTGGACCTAGACAGAGAATGTGTGGTCAGAATACTAAAAATCACATCAGATTATGACTAATTACCTTAGGACAGGCGTGGCTTTAGAGATTCAGAGGAAAAAAAACAACCTTTCAATACATGTACATTTTTGCTAGCAAATTCCTATGCATCCCAATGAACATTTCTTCTAAGCCAGCTCATAGTCAGTTCATTTGGTCCAAGAAAGAGCCAGCAAGAAACAAAGGTTCACAAAAGCTTTTTGTTACAGTTTATAAAAAACAAAATACAAAATAAATGTTAAGACCAACAATAAAAATAACCAGTACAAGTAACAAAAGTGCTCAAGTTGGAGGGGAAGTAAACTTGCCCAGAGCAAACACATACAAACTTTAAATATAATCTTTAATATATTACAAAAATTGGTTAGAGGGAAAATGCTTTAGTAAAATTTTTTTTTCAAGTAAGTTTATTTTTCTTTCAAATGACTGCTGGAGGGTTCAGTGACCAGACTGACCTCTTCACATCAGCCAGCAGCCATTGCTATCTGGATTTTACTTTCACCAAAACCAATAACAAGAACTCTCTTAAGTCTTTACAAGGGAAGAAAATAATCACTGATGCTGCCAAGCAACACAGGAAGAAAATTCACGTATTCCCTCAATAGAATGAGCCTCAAGAATTGTTACATGGCAGCATGAAATAGCAAATCTGTACTAGTTCTAGTCTTTACTCATTCTAAGCGCCCACTCTTAAAAGACCAAAAGGAATATTGCTTTGTTTGGTTCTCGCAAAAGCCATAAACATCACATATAGATCATTAACTCTTTATGCCAGTAGTCTGAAGCTCTATGTGCTAAGCACTTGATGAAGTCCCAACCTTTGGCATCAAAGTTAATTAAGGTTTTGGTGAAAATGTCCAGTTTAAAATACAAATAATGCACTGAAGAAAGAGGTTGAATTTTTAAGTAAGAATCAGACTGTTACAGACAGCATTAGCTTACTAACAAGAGACAGCCAAACCCCCAACTTTAGAGAGAAAAATCTTTAATACTTTACATATTTTCTTTAACTTCAACTCTCTACTGAAAAGCAGATATTACTTTTGTCTTCAGTCCAGTTAACTGCTTCAAAAAGTCTGTAGTCAGGAAATAAGAAAAGCCTAAAGATAAACGTCACATAAGTGTTCACAAGTATCAACACTGCAACTGGACTTTGAAGCCAACAAACTTTTTGCTGATAGAAGTCTTAGTGCCTTCTTTGTTGGCATTATACATTACAATGGAGGAAAACAAAATCCAAAGAATTACAGGTCAAAACCATCAAGAGACAGGCAACAGCAAAGCCCATCTTGCATCAGTGACATTGTTAAAAAGGAGACTTTTTAACAGAGAAGCTGTGGATGTCCCCTCCCTGGAAGGTGTCCCTGCTTGTGGCAGTGGGGTTGGAACTAGATGATCTTTAAGGTCCCTTCCAACCTGTACTACTCTATGACTCTGAAGCCTGATGATGTGAACATGAAGTAGTAACGTGTAAGCCACAAAACTCAGACTGAACGCAACTGTACCACCTCAGGTCTCCGGACTGAAACCCAACAGCTTTAACCACTTCTCCAATTCTTACATTTTTACTTCATATGTATAGATCACTGCAACATCTTGAATGCAGTTTAGCCAGCCTGCATCATAGAGAATATATACACATGGGTGAAAACTCTTCTCTCTCTTCCTCCCCACAAAGACACCGGAAAGCTGGTTTAAAGATTTGTATTGCCCCTACCCACTGGCGTAATTTTTCATGTAGGACAAGATTTCTAAAGTGCAGCAGAGTTCAGAAAGCCTATCAGAGATTCCCAAAAACACAACAGCAGCAACAGCACCTATGACTAATTTTGCAGGTGCCATATTAGAATTGTTATTGAGAGAAAATGATTTTGTATTGCAAGGCTTCCACATTGTTCAGTTATAGTACTTATGTAGTGTTAAAGGGTTTTTTCCAAACATTTTGTCCTAAAGCATTAAAAGGATTAAAATACAAAAAGCCTTCAAAGATGGTTTAATTTGAAAATAAAGTTAGCAAATTTATGTAGAGCATTTCTTTCATAGTTGCTCAGAATTTGCATGCACAGATACCAACAGTTAATATTGTGCATATACTTTCCAGAAGCTTCTATCATTAACTCGTTCCATTTAAGAAACAGCATGAGAACAAAAGAGAAGGTATTTCATATAAATTTTTACTATAAAAAGGTACTTGGGGATGATTTAGCCAGCAAACCAAGAAACCCTTTCCCCACCCCCAAGTTTTAAAAACTACCTTGTTATTTTAGTTTATGAAAAACTGAGTCAAACTTCCCTTCCTTCTCATTACCCCTCCTTTTCCTAAAGGTACTATATTAATTCTCATGTCATAGGCTCTGGCCATTTCTCACAAAAATAAATATTTTTGTTCAAATGTAGCAGAAGCAGAATACTTCAACAAGTTTCCTCAATATCATCAACCTCTTTGTCCAGTGCATTAGGACTATACAGTTACATGGAACCAGCCATAAAACTTTACTGATGCACAAGTCCCTGTTACTGGCAAAGGTACAGTACCAAAGCTTTTTTTTTTTTAATACACCGACTAATTTTTTTTTTCCAAAATAGAAGATGCATATATTTTTCTGCCTTTTTAATCTTCCAAGATATAGTTTTATAAATTTCTTATCCAGCAAATTCCTCAGGGAATATGTCGGTCTTAAACAAACATATTCTATAGCATAATTGATTTTAAATCCTTCTAAGGTATTTCATTAAGATACCAAACCTCTAGCATAATCTTTCCTAACAACTTGAGACCTGCTAACTTCAGTCAGTGCAATTGAAATATTTTTTTAAAGTGAGCACTGTACCTTTAACCAATTCACCTACAAGATGTACATAGGTTGTGGTACACTCAAATTTAAAAAAGAAATTAATAACTACAATACTGCATCCTCTTCACTGCCAAACACATCAGAAATTGCTACATATAAAAAAGCACCCCATCCCATACATTCTTTTGGACTGCTCAGATATAGAACTACAGGGCTGGAGTGTAGGTGTTTAGGCAAGAAGCATGCACAGCAGAAGGTAGCATTAAAGGCATAGGTCAGAGATAGATGCTAACCAGTAAAATCTGTTTTCAATTAGTGAACTGTTTCTCTAGTTTGAGAGAGTTTAGAAAAAGGTAATCCAAAATGTTCCAAAACAACTGTTCACACAATAATACACGTACAAAAAGAGGGAACTTACACAAGGAGAAAAGGCAAACATGGCCTGAAATAGCCACTTACACTACACTACTCATTTGTGAGGTTTCAGAGTTCAGTGATATTCTCAGGGCCACTCTAGCCAAGCTCTTCCTTTACTTCGCGTTAGTCTTTGTAAAGCATGTTCCACAGAATATTGTCCCAACAGAAGGAAAAAGGTTACGATTCACTCCCAGCCATTGTCTTTTATCATGTGGGCAAGTTCAATGATAAATTTTCCTTCTTTGTATTTCTGACTGCTCTCAAAAGCATGTTCCTGGAAACAAGAAAAATCAAGACACTGAATTAAGCTGGGGAAATGAAGTACTCTAACATCAACCTTACACTAAAAATACAAGCCAGGCAACATTCTAGTTAACATCCCATATTGGTTACACTGAATCAAAGGCAGGAGGGAGGACGGAGAGGATGAAGAGGGTTGAGAAGGAAAGAGGAGTAAACTCATAAGTGGAATCAGCAGACACTGCACAACAGATCTTGCTTTTGAACTTTCCATGTTCTCTCACTGCTTAGGGAATTTTAACTTTTTTTTAAAGTGAAGTTTAGGAAATGGCATGTAATGTCTGTTCAGCTTGCTTATTCCCAGAAGCAATGAAAAGAGGGAATGAGAACCTTTTCAAAAAAACTCTCCTCTATATTCATCATCAGAAGGAATGCATTAGGACAACTTCCTTCTGTAAGATCTGAAGCTATACTGAACCAATGAAAATCCTACATGCAACACCCAGAATCTAACATTTCAAAACATGAAACTTGCAACACAGCTGCAAGTGTTCCAGGTAACTGCACAAGTGCATGGATAACTTTTCAAACAGAATCAAATTCACACTAGTTGTAAGCAATGCAAACATGCTCAGTAACCTTTGGCATAATTAGTATTTTTGCTACATGGACCAACACTTTCAACTCAAGAAATTTTAAACCAACTTTGACAACTTCTTCCATGTGGTTTAACATATGTGGTTGGTAGTCTTGCAAAAAGATTTTACAGAAGTTTTAGATAGCTGCAATAGCATCTATAGCTCACGCTTGTCTTGCAGTTCAGAATAAACTTGTTATCTACTATAACATTTCAGCAGATGTAATGAAGCAAAATTATGTATTACAGTCTGATATATACAAAAGTACTAGATCTAACTCACCTAAACTATCAGTACAGGTGCTACTCAGTGGCCTACTAAAATATCTGTGCTTCAACATATAAGCATTTATCAAAGACTTAAGTATATTGCTTACGTATTTCCATCCAAGAGTGGTTTTACAGTTTTCACAATAGATATCTGCTACAGCATGTAAACCTGTCAGAAGAACTCTCTCCTCTGCTGGACCACAGCCCACATTTACCCTGAAAAAAAAGGAGAAATTACATTAACTGTACGAGAGTGTTTCTTTTCCTACTTTTTACCCACCTTTTCTCTGGAGGACAAGAAATAGTTAAAAAAAAAGAGTCCCTAACTTATTCAGTGCTGTAAAAGTGACTTACTCTGTTACACTGAGCTAAAGGACAGGAAGAAAAAGGGGTTTGTTTTTTGTTTTTTTAATGTGGCTAGTCTAAACAGCAAACTGTTGGTGATGCCCACTTACTCCCATCAAAGGCTAAACAGTTAAACTTCCAGAGAACAGAACACTAAGCAGTAACTGGACACCTCTAGAGTTTCAGGCTTTTCTTCAAAAACAATTTGAGACCTCTATAATGGAAGTCTGTACCAGCACCAACAGCTCAATTTAGAACCAACTCCAAAATAGCAGCAAGGAAAAAGCCTCATAAATATTTCTTTGCTACAGCTCAGCAGACTAAGCTATGAAGAACAAACAGCAATATCAAAACAAAACATCCCATGAAGTACTGCATCAAGCTAACTTTTTCCATGAAAAAGAGTGTTTGCAGGACAAGGCAAGACTAAAACAAGTTTTTAGGCAATACAGGAGCAAAATTTCGCCATTTTTCCTGTTGTATTACCAGATTCTTACTACTACAATTATACTAGAAGTCCCAAGTCACCACTGAACAACTACATATAAAGAATTTCAAGGATCTGCAACCAAATTCTTTGCAGTTATAGTTACTTTATCCTGGTCTAAAACAGACTGACGCTTAACTGCATTTCTTTTTCCTGCAACACAATAAACTGCTGAAAAATAAAGACAAAAATGCAGTCCTGCATATTAGAAACTTAAAATGCATCCCTTAGCAAATTCAAAGAGCCTTATATCATGGGTAGGACGTGCCTAAAATTGCAAATATTAGGCTTGATAAGATCACAGAGACCTTTTGCCTCTAGCACATTTGCAATATTCAAGGTCATTTAAGATGTACCAAGTTTACTGAAACATTAACCTGTAAATGTATCTAACTCACTGGAAAATTCTTTAGACTACAGCAGAGTTGTCTAAAGGAAATTTACAGTCACACACTGTATTTTGACTTCTGGAATACCTCAGAATGGCAACTCTTAATCAAGACAGTTACCATTACACACATAAAAGGAATTTCACATGCACGCCCTCCCCAAAACTTTCAGCTAATTCACAGAATTACTTAAAATATAAAACTAATATGTGTAAAAGGATAGTTGCAAATCAGCTCAGTAGCTCTTTAATAACTATAGCTGGTGAGTACAGCCATCATTAAAAAGAATAGGGCAAAGTGCAGCTACTTTAATTCCTACCATTTTCCACTTAAGAAGCATACAAAAAGAAATTACATTCTGTAGGTAGTGTGCATAACCATAACAACATACTTACACAGAATTAAAGAGGTAGGCTCGTCCCTGGCTTCCCTGGAAGGACTGCACAAAAAAAAGAAAATTTGCACTTGTTAAAAAAACACAAAAACCCCCATCAAACAAAAAATAGTTCCAGAAGGGTGTGTTAGTAAGCATATAAACATAATACAGTTATAAACTATTTCAGATTAATTATTGTATACCAATTTTTTATAGGAAAGCCTAGTCAGCAAAGTTTTCACCCACATTAGATTTTTAGCAATGATTTTTAGTTAAGTATTATTGTTCAAAATAAGACATCTGTAATGCAAACAAAACATACTTTTTTCTTACTACTCTGCAAGATACCAATTATTATTTTCCTGGACATCCTTCATGCTAATTATAATAATCTGCCTTTAACTCAAAGGGAACTATTTCCATCTCCTCTGTCTTCTCCCACTGCACCCAAAAGATGATTTATTTCAATTTCATTGCATTATTTGATGTAAGACCAGTGAAATTTTGCACCAACCATAAAACCAGCATACTCTATTCAGGAAATGTATCTCATCAGTTTATAAGCTCAGCTTTATATTAATAAAACAACTGTTATCATCAAATGCCCAAGCACAGCCATATGCTTTCAAATCTCTCACATTCCTGGTAAGATTACGGAAAGAAGTTGACTGTTAGACTTTCTTGGCTAGATCTAAATTAATGTTTTAGTTCAGAGCAGTAGCAAAGTTTTGAAGTAAAACCCTAATCAACCACACTTACTGGGGGTTGGTTTGGCTTGCAGAGCAGTTTCAGTGCCTGTGAACTACATCTTTATTCCTTCTGTACTGAACTAAACCAGAAGCTCTTCTACTGTGCGCTCTAGAAATGCTAATAAGGACATAAAGGCCTGAACCTATGATCAGACAGCCTTGAGCTACAAACACCCTGGCAGAACTTGTGAGCAGAATAGCTCCAGCCATAGGTAAAACATTCAAAATATAAGATGTATCACTGCTTTCATCTGTTGATTTGTTCCTTCTGTATTGAATTACTTGATAATTTAGACACAGGCATTATTTCCCATTCAAACAGGATCACACTGAAATTGAGGTTTCATTTTTTTCTCTCTTCCATCCTGAAATGCCATTTAAAATCTCCAAACTATCTTAATTTCTTTCCCCCCCACCAGAATTTCCCTTCTCTAGCCTACTTTCACAGAAAATTAACAATTTTATGCATTCTGAAGAGAAAGTACAACTGTTTTTAAGAATCACTGCAGTTCTAGTATTGAAGATCAAAACCTAATGTTTCTGAAACCTACATTATATCAACAAGGAAAGTTTTTGAAAGGAAAAATCTCACCTTGAATATTTATGAATGGTTTTAGTAATATTAGGCATGGAACCATAGGCAGCAGGACCTTTCTGCAGTGGATTTTTCTGACATGTATTTAGTTATATCATTAGAGCCCATTCACATCAAAATAGATATTTTGCCAGCCTAATGATTAGCAACACAATACCAGTAACTGTTTTATCTCAACTACTTACTCAGCACAGTTTTCAAAGAGATGTAAAAGGGAAATGTATATAAAGAACACTTTTTCATCTACATTAACAACACTATATACTGCAACAAAGAATGCTAAAAGAAATCCACAACTCCAGACAACTCTAAGTAGCAACAGTGGGAGTGTAGTTACAGCCCTTAGCTACTCAAAATCTCACCTTAAGATGAGAAGTTCTGCTTGACAGTTTATAGCATTAATATTTTAGTACTATTTTAGCAGCCAATTTAAAAGAATTATCAAATGAGGATTTTTATTGGCAGAACATATTTCTTCATCTATAGCAAAGACAAAAGAAAAAGTACTCTTTCCATTAGCCAGAACTGCAGGTCTTATTTTTCACAAGGCAAGGAAAAAAAGACAGGTTATGCAGTACAGTGAAAGCTAAAACTTCAGGTAGGACTGACCCTGAAAGGAGAGACTCAGTTGAGTAAAGAGTCTGGACAGCTCTGCCAGAAAGTAATGCTTGCACCTACCTTTAAACAAACAAAAACCCCCCACTGCTAGTTCAGTTCTCCCGAGATATTTAAACATGCATCACAAAACCAGCAGAATGGTACAGAACCTGCAGTCTCTAAATTAGAGCCAGTGTCTCAATCGGCACCGAAGCAGAGAATGCTTACTGCAGATGAAAACAAGAACTATTCATGTTTATACTCTCAAAAACTCCCCAGTAACAAATGAGTAACTAGCCTGAGTCAACTACACATGCCTTTAGACAACTGCAGTTGGGCAACCCCAAATTTAAGAAAAAGCAAAGGAAACACTTTAAAGGTCCTCTAATTAAGTAGTAAACTTAAACTGGAACATTCCTGTTCCATGCACCCAAAATTAAGAAAAAGAACTTTCAAAGCCATGACAACCATTATTTTTAATTAAGCTACTGTAAAAATTCTTGCAGTAAAAAAGTTGCAGCCATTTCTCTGTGCTTTAAAAAACTATGTTGTGAATTAAGAGTCACAAATCCTTTTTCAAACTGCACCAAGAAATACTCTCTCATGTGCCAGTTTCTCTACTTACGTGTAATTACACAAGCCAACTGCATACTATGTATTTTTTTGTCTGGTCCTACACAATCACTTTTTAAGCTACTCGTATGCCATACTTGAAGTTCCCCAGCTAGCTGTGAAAGAAAAAGACTCCAGAAAAAAATCAACAGTCAAGAGACCTTCTGAACTACATTATGCAATTATTTCTGCCAAGTTTATGTTTAGTCTTGACTTAGTATCACCTAATAAAAGCTCTCCTTTGACCCTACATTTATCAAAATTATGCAGAGGGCAGTAACAGGATGCCAGGAATAGCAGAAAAAAAAGCCCTTCCCCTCTCTTGTTTCATAAGCTGAAAAAATCTCTAGCCAAATGAAATACAAACCGCAGGTTGGAAAGTACTACTTCAGTTGTTCTTTTTCATGATGTATTTTTACAAGTGATTCTTCTCTTCTTGCACCCTTTCCTTTGTTGCCCTAAATATGCTGCTCTCTCCTAGGTGTTCCCCCCCCGCCCCGAAATGGCCATCTTCATTACCTTCTAATTTTTGGTATTCTCAGAGTAGAGTGGAGGGAGAAGCAACACAAAATAGAATCTTTTCCTGGGACAGTGGTTTTAAAAAGAAAATCTGTTCACAAACATGCCACTGTGAAAAGCTTCTTCATTCCCACCTTCTCTAGCTTCCTGTTAGCAGAGTTTGGCTGATTCATTTGATACTATCTTTCTTTCCTACCTATATATTTAGAGGCTAAATATTATATTTACATGCCATAGAACAACTGTTTCTTTGCCCAGCTGGGAAGAGCAAGTTCCTCCACGCTTCCATCACTCACAGATAACCTGACAGCAACCTGTGGCAACTTGTGTTACTGTGTTCTGGAATACAGAACTTGGGTCTAGACAACTTAGACTTTCCTTTAAAATACACTGACTAAAGTAAGAGCACTGTAAACATATTGATTTTTAAATTCCCATGCCTTTTAATTTTTCTTATTAATTTCTTAACTTGGCAGAGCTTGGCAGTCAGAGTTTCTTATCCACATGAATAGCTGAGGGGATTTATTTTTTTTTTCCCAAAACTATATTCACACACCACAAAGAGCTATGCATCTGTCAAATACACATTCTCTTGATCACAGTATATTGATTAGATACAAAAAAGATTTATTATAAGAGCTCTACTTCCTGATGCATCCTATTACTAGAAATTAAAAGAGGACAACTCATTCTGGCACTTGAACTGCTGGCTAAGCTTTTAACTTGGTGATAGAGTATTTTGCATAACCAGAAAAAAAAAAAAATTAATACTGAACAAACGTTTGTTTTTGCCAGCACTAAGTTTCTCACACTCTACACTGTATGATTCAGACTGATATGAATTTTAAGAGACTGACAGGTTAAACGCCTTGTGTGTCAACTCCTCAAAGGAAATGAAAGAGAATATTTTAAATGGCAGTGTCAAGGACTAACAGGCATAACTGTTCAAACCAGTCTCCAAACTGCTCTTCTACAGAATAAACATCAGCTATGCAAAAGCAGACTTTTCCTTTGCAGGATTTGTTCAGCGCTTCCAAAATTGCCATAAATCACAACTAAAACAGAACATCTCATTAAAACTGACATAATTCTGAGTCTGAAATCATGTCGCATCCAGTAGAGAGGAATCAGAAGATAGTGGCAAGTGTGACCAACAGTCATCAATAGTGACTCACATCAACCAGGATTTTTACTTCAAAGCTGGGCAGTTTATCAGTTCAACTAATATGTGCAGTTAAAACAAACTTGCTTTAAGTCTGCCTCTTCATGGTCCTCCATTAATAATATTGCATTAATTTATGAGTTAACTTTGTCCCTAGAAAAGCCTCATCTTTGACAAGCTGTCCATTCCTACAGGAAGATCTACAAGATCCATAACTACTTCTTGCTTCAGCAGTTGAAAGTGTCTAGAATGTCTGACAGTGTAAGCAAAGTTGTTTAATCGTGCTTAGGAACTATATGAAGGTCGACTGCAACAACAGTTTGGTATTATGATATTTCAAAGTCATCTGACAGACCTCTATCATCAATAAATTTATTTTGTAGTAAAGAAACTTATTTATAAATGTTTCACTTACACACTAGTACATACCTGCAGAAATAGACATAATCTATGCTTCTAAATTAAACCTGTCATTACCTCTAACGCCAGGATTAGCTGTTTTACCCAGGAGAAAAGGAAGTATCAGTTAAGGAGAACATGTATTTACTGCCCCAAGGCATACCTAAGGGCATGTGTGGGGGAAGGGAAGCTAATAAAAAGCTTTTGTAATTAATTATTCCCCACAGATGGGATTAGATTGCATGACTAGAAACCATGCTCCACAGAAAACATCCAGAGAAACTGTTGCCTTAGCATGTATTAAGGGTATGGCAGGCATTATTATAAGCAAGTCAGAATGGCATGAACTGTATCTGCCTTAAGCACAGCTTGCAAGATACTTGTAACGTGGAAAAATGATTTTGAAGAATGGCAATGAAAGTAGTCCATA